GAGTGGCTTGTTCGGCGCGCACTTCGTCAGAGTGGAGATTCCGGAGCTGGAGGCGCTGGAGACACTGGAGCTGGAGGTGCTGGTGTTACTGCTGGAGCTGGTGGTACCGGAGGTACTGCAGCTACTAGTCCTGGATGTGCTCGTGCCAGCTGCCGGGACTGGTTGTGTTGGGGGCGCTGGAGCTGGAGACCCTACGGAGCCTGGAGAAGCTGGCGCTGGAGGCGATGGAGTTGGAGGCCCTGGTGCAGGAGGCGTTGGAGCTGCAAGAGCTGGAGCTGTTGACCCCGGAGCTGGAGGTGCTAGAGGCACTGTGCGGCCACAACCATACTTCGTTCCCCTGCTTCAGCAGGTTCTTGGTATCCTGTCTTCTACTGGCCTTACCCCTCCCTTCCTGTGTCTACCGCCTGACCAGTCGCAGCCGCCGTTACAGCTGGCCTCCCCACTGCCTGCTCCCTCTCCGTACACTGAGCAGTCCGGCGGTCTTACAGAGCGTCGTGAGCCTGCGTCTCGTCCTGTCTCGCCTGTTCGCCCTGTGCGTCGCGTTCCTCGTTCGCGTCCTCCTCCTGTCCCCAGCACGCACGCTATGGCGCTACATCCTTCCTCTGTTCCACTACGTGTTCCTCTGCCTGCTCCTCCTGAGTCCTCTCTTCCTGAGGCCCCTGACCCTGAGTCTGACCGCGCTCGTGCTGCAAGTCCCACTGTCTCTCGTCTCCTCGCCACTACTGTCACTGACCCTTCTTTTGAGTCTGCTACTGCGTCTGCTCTCGTTGCTGAGCTGCTTGACCTTGCTACTGCCTGTCGTCTAGACTACACAACTTCTCTTGTTGCTGAGTCTGCGTCTGCCAGTCCTCCGTCCGTCGGGGGTGAGTGTGCTCTTGGCACGGACGTCCTTGAGGACATGCAGGAGTACTTTGAGTGTCTTGCAGCTGCTGTACCTCGTTTCGCTTCCATGCTGCTTGCCTCTGAGGGAGACCCGGATGCACCAGACATCCCGACCCCGCGCTCTTACGCAGGGGCGATTACGGGTCCTTACTCCTCTCAGTGGCAGGCAGCCATGGATGCCGAGATGGCATCCTGGAAGTCCACAGGCACCTACGTCGACGAGGTTCCCCCACCTGGGGCGAACATTGTCGATGGCATGTGGATTTTCAAGGTGAAGCGGCCGCCGGGTTCTCCGCCTGCCTTCAAGGCGCGTTACGTTGCTCGAGGCTTCAGTCAGCGACAGGGGGTTGACTACTTCCAGACCTTCTCCCCCACCCCGAAGATGACTACTCTTCGGGTGTTGCTGCACGTTGCTGCTCTGCGTGACTACGAGTTGCACTCTCTAGACTTCAGCACAGCTTTCCTGCAGGGCAGCCTGCACGAGGAGATCTGGCTGCGCCACCCACCTGGCTTCACTGGTTCGTTTCCTGCAGGTACCCAGTGGAGCCTCCGCCGGCCAGTCTACGGTCTCCGCCAGACGCCTCGCGAGTGGCACGACACACTGAGGACGACACTTGCGGCTCTTGGGTTTGCTCCTTCTACTGCTGACCCGTCGCTGTTTCTACGCACCGACACCTTGCTGCCGCCGTTCTACGTCCTCGTGTACGTCGACGACCTCGTCTTTGCCACTGCTGACACTAAGGCACTGACCCTTGTGAAGTCGGAGCTGCAGAAGAGACACACCTGCACTGACCTGGGTGAACTGCGCAGCTATCTTGGCTTGCAGATCATCCGGGACAGAGCACGGCGCACCATCACCTTCAGCGCTTCGGCTTCCAGTTCTCCTCGCCACAGCCCACTCCTCTGTCTACCAGCCACTCGCTCTCAGCTCCACCTTCGGACAAGTCCGTAGAGCTGAGTGGTCCGTACCCAGAGCTTGTGGGTTGCCTCATGTACATGATGACGTGCACTCGACCTGACCTCGCGTACCCTCTTAGCCTCCTGGCTCGCTACGTGGCTCTCGGTAGGCACCGAAAGGTGCACTGTAATGCTGCAAAGAGGGTACTGCGTTACTTGTGCAGTACGTCGAGCATGGGGCTCGTGCTTGGAGGACGGGGTCCAGTTGTCCTCACCGGTCACGCAGACGCTTCCTGGGTTGATGACTCAGCTACGGAGCGATCGTCACAGGGTTACACCTTCAGCCTTGGCTCTGGCTCTGTTTCTTGGCGGTCTACCCGCTTGTCTTTGGTTCTCAGCTCCAGTTGTGAGGCTGAGATCTACGCCAGGGCCATGGCTGCACAGGAGCTACGCTGGTTCACCTACCTACTGACTGACTTGGGAGAGCAGCCTCGTTCGCCTCCAGTTCTGTACGTAGACAACAAGGCCATGATTGCCTTGTGTCAGGAGCACAGACGGGAGCACAGAACGAAGCACATCGCTCTGCGATACTTCCTTGCTCGAGAGTTGCAGCAGCGTGGCCAGCTTCGTCTTGCGTACGTGGCCACTAGGGCCAACACTGCTGATATATTCACCAAGGCACTTCCGCCTGGTGATCATCAGCGCTTCTCTACTGTGTTAGGCCTTGTGCCTACTGTGCCTCACTTGCTTACTGCCTGACTCTGCTTGTACTGAGATATATATATATATATATATATATACCTGCATGCTTACACTTGCTAGGGTATGATCACTGTATTGTTTGTTCTCTTTATATAACTCTGCATGTGAACTGGCCTTGTGGCCCTTTGCTTGTGCTCGGACTGTGTGGTGACTTTGTGATCCATTCTAAGCTTGCTTTGCTTTGCTTCTTCTCTTGAGTGGTCTTGTGACCATTGCTTGCTCTTGCTATCCCCCACTTCGCCTATGGGGGTGTAGGGCCATTAATACTGACGGTGCATTTTCTGCATCTTGTCAACTCCAATATGTCTGGAAAGGTTCGAGTCATGGACCTCTGGATAAGTATATAACGCAGAAAGTGGTATGCGGGTACACAATTCAGGTCCGTTCCGGCTTTTTTATAATAGTCCCCTTTATTGTTGTTGCTTGGAAGTGATTGCCTCTCGTGAAAAATAGGTCCGTCTTATAGCCGTGGGTGAATAGCCCCAAAAGTAACGGGTTCAAATGGGTGATCAGTACCGCAACGGATTGGACTGTCAGCCAAGGATTAATCGGGGCCTTCCATTTCTGGATGGTCTTGATTTCATTTGAGTCGATTTTGATGCCGTCGTGTGATATGACATGCCCCAAAAACTCTAACTCCGTCTTGAAGAACTCGTACCTAGAGCCTTTAGCGATGAGCCGGTTGTCCTGTAGCTGCTTAAATAGTGCATCGTGATCGCGGAGGTGCTGTTCGCGTGTCTTGCTTAAAATTAGGATATCGTCCAAATAAACGAGTACACACTATGTGTTTATATTTCTCTAGGCTGTAGTGGGTTTAGCCTTACGGGGTACAGTATTTCTCTCGACATCCTACTTGTACCCTCCCCCTTTCACCTAATGCATCATCCTAGTTCGTAACTTTAACAGTGTAGTCTTGGACCGACCCGAGTTGTCGCCAAGTACGTAGTCTCTGACGCGCTGAAATAGAAGCCGCAATAGGCTCGAAGAGCGCCCGAAGCCCTGCGCACCACGCATCCCATGTGCTGTACTGGGCGGTTTCGCAGAAAGAACTCCAGGTGACGGCTGGATCCGAGGGCCCTCCCTCTTGCGACGGCGGCTCGTAGGCGCGTGGCGAGGTCACGATGACTCGCCACCAGTCCATGGCGGGGCCCCTCAGCAGCGAAACTGCGTAGCGAATCTTCGCTGCGTCCGACTCGACGTAATTCACGTCGAAGAAAACGTTCATCATGAAAACCCACGATTGAACTGTCGGACCTCCACGTTGGCGAGGATCGAAGCAGGGCGGGCGCTGCGGCTTGAGTGGCATCGGCGCCATGATGTCGTTGTTGCCACTCGTTGTGGCGAACTCCTCGTGCCGGCGGACTTCGCGAGTCCCTTGTGTGCCTGTTGCGGCCCTGTTCCTCTCCATGCCAGGCATTGAGTGAGCGGCGCCATCACTGGCTGTGCCTGAGCGTTGTCCCACGCTGTCGTTCTGTGTCGGTGTGCCTGATGAGATGACGATCGGCTCCTCCGATTGTGCAGATGCATTTGCAGGTGCATGTGTTGGTGCTGGTGCATTCATCGTTGATTGCAAGCGAGCGGAGTCGCGTTCAGCCGTGAGTGTCGCAATTTCGATCGCCGAATATTCGAGTTGGCGCACGAGACGGTCAAGCTGCTCCTGCTATTGAAATACTTAGGAAGAAGTGTCGATTAGGTCAAGGGAGAGGGTGCAAGGAAAGTGTCGAGATGGTTTCTATACCCCGTAAAGATAGCGCCAATGTAGCCTAGAGAAATGTAAACATAAACATATATGTTTTGACACCTGCGTCAGTGTCGCGAGATTAATTTCGGCCATGGCGGGGGTGTCGGGCAAGCTCAGCGAGAGCCTCTGTCGTGGCCGTGCGTGCTTACGAGAGAGCACTTAGAGCGGCGGTGCTTGTTCGCTGAGAGACGTCCACCCCCCCCAAAAAAATGATATAGTGGGGAAGCGAAGGTGTGGGTGCGGTCCGAGAGGAGATTGTAGGCTCTGAATACCAAGTGGTACGAGTGCAATCGAGCGTGCGGGCGAGAATTGCACTATCGAAGCAAAACAATACAATGAGCCAAGGCATGCGCGAAGAATATATAGCGAACTAGAGTGGTAACGGTAACGCGAGGAATTGGGGTGTGCTACGGGCCTAGCGTCGATGTTGGTATATGTCGAGGCGGAGGTCCGGAGCGCCGGTTACCAACCGAGCCGTGAGGTTGGGTCGCATCATGAACAGTGGCGGGAGTCGTAGTCGACGCGAGTGTCGCGAGCGGGTAACGTTTCACTGTTTGGGTGCCGATGGCAGGAATGGTCTTGTACATGGTAAGCAGGGGCGCGAAGTAAGGAAAATGAATTTTCCTTACAACTGCACTGAAAAGGGTGCAATCTGTGAAGAACTGAGAGTATATACAGGTTTAGAGATGATTCATAGATATGTACTGCACTTCAAAGCTTATCCATTCCTGTGCCTTCTCCCCAGCCAAAACTTGAACGCCTTTATTTCCATGGGCTCGATGTGCTCGATCTTGCTCCTCCTTTCTCGAACGTCCGAGCCATTTCCACCCTTCCCCGAACCATCACCACTTTCATTCCTTACTAGACTACTCCCATTCTTTCGAACTAAATTCAAAGGAAACTCCTCCACCCCCTCCACCAGCCTGTCTGAGAACAGCTGCTGCAGGGAAACCACGCCAGAAGCTTGAGGGGGACGGCACGAACGGCGCAGCTGGGGAGGAGGAGCGAAGCTGTGGTCAAAGCCTTGCCGATGCAACAACAGTGCAATCGGAGGCTCATCAGAGGCCTGCATGGCAGTGAGGAGGCATTTGGAAGGTGCGCAGAGAACTAGATAAAATGAATAGCAGGAAAAAGAAAGGGGAGAAAACAGGGGGAGATATGGAGGAAGAAGGGGAATCTGCCCTTTGCTATCTCAGCTTGACGCACACACGAAGAGAGTGATGTGATCACAAAAACGAGGAGTTGGGCACTCACAGAGGCGTTGGGCAGTGGGCGGTGGACTTTGAAAGACACAATGTGCATGTCACAGGGCAGAGGTCGTGACAGCGGTGCATACCCCCACTCCCACCCCCCCACCTTTGTCCCACCCTCCACCCAACCTATTCCCAAACCTCCTCCTCTGGTTTTCCCCGAGCCCTTTTCCGAGCCTGCCTTCCGCCCCCCTTGCTGCTCCCACCTTCCAGCACCCCCCCCTCCATCTTGCTCCTCCCTTCCCTGACCACCACCCGCCTTTTCCCTGCCCGAGCCGCCCTGGGCCATCAGTTCACGCAGAGCCGCGGAATTTTCGGGCTGCCCGACGAAAATAACGGGCGGGTAGTTTAGCCGGGAGGAGACGCGGTGGGAGAGGAGGGAGGGCTTGAGAGGAGCGGAGGAGGAGGGGGAGGGGGGAGGGCGAGCGGAGGTGTTGGATTCGAGGGAGAGGTGGAGGGTAGAGAGCAGTGGGCGGTTGTCAGACACTCCCTGGGTGAGGCCCCTCCCATCGTCCTGGTTCAGCCTTCTGTCCAACACCATCTCTAGCCAACCACTCTGGGGGGAAAAGAAGGGTGTGGGAGAGGGGAGGAGGGAAGGAAAGGAGGAAAGGGGGAAAAAAAGGTGTGAGCTGGCATGGAAGTCGAATCGTCGTGGTTCAGTTGTTGATCCCACACCATCCCTAGCCACCCGCTCTCAAGGGGAGGAAGGAGGGAGAATGTCAGCACCCATGGCCTGGCGATTGTAAACGGAGAAGCGCAGCCCAGAGGGGCCTTGCAGGAAGGCGAGGGCGGGCAGAGAGAGAGAGGGGAGTGGAGAGAGAGAGAGAGGGATAGCTTAGCCCTCTTCCCTCTGCCTCTTCCCTCTTCCCTCTGCCCTCTGCCTCTTCCCTCTGCCCTCTGCCTCTTCCCTCTGCCCTCTGCCTCTTCCCTCTGCCCTCTGCCCTCTGCCTCTGCCCTCTGCCCTCCCTGCCTATATATAAGGGCAGTGTGTGCTTGCCTTTCCTCATTATTTCGTTGTGGTTTCATTTTCGGCTGCTCGCGCCGGCAGCCTTAGGCCGCCGCCGCTCGCAAACACGGCCTTCGGCTGCGCGTTTCTGGTGGCAAGGCAAGGCACTCAAGCGGGAGCAAGACTAAAAAGAAACACCTGGTTAACAAAGAAGCAAGAGAGGCCAAGTCTACGGGAGGCAAGATGCAACACTACACACGACGGCGCTCTACTGCGTGTACAGGCCAGCCCCCTCCGCCTCAAGCATCGAGCGAAGACACCCCACCATCGCATGACAGAGAGAGAGAGAGAGAGAGGCCCTTTGCCCCCCTTAGCGAGGGGCAGTTGCACCAGCTGATCGAACCCCCGTTCGACCACTAGGGTTGGACAGAAGGGGCCGGGAGTGGATAGAAGATAGGTGTGATGGTTAGGATGCTTGGTTGTTTTTCTTGCATGTATCTGCATCTTCATCTTCCTGTGTACCACCACTTTGTTAATGCAAGGACCGTTCGGGGAGTGGAGCAGGGGGAGAGAGAGAGAGCTTACCTTGAGACTGGCACATCCCATGGCTTGGCGTGTGTGTACTGAGAAGCGCAGGCCAGAGGGGTGTTGCAGGAAGGCGAGGGCGGGCATGGGGTAGAAGTTGGCGCGGTGGGGAAGGCAGGGTGGGGGGTGTGTGCCCCTGCAGTGAAGCAGGCGGAGAGAGAGAGAGAGCTCACCTTGAGGCTGGCACATCCCATGGCTTGGCGAGTATGAGCAGAGAAGCGCAGGCCAGAGGGGTCTTGCAGGAAGGAGAGGGCAGGCATGGGGTAGAAGTTGCCCTGCAGAGGAGTGTGGGCGAGGGTCTCCCTTCTGACCATCTGGAAGCCGTTCAGGTCCGTGTGAAAGACGGTGCCAGACCTGGCGTGGTGGTGGGGAGGGGGTGTAGAATAGAGGGTGCATATATTATGAGAGTGCGGGCGTGGGGACGTGAGAGGGCGAGGGCGAGGGCGGGCATGGGGTGGAATTTTCCCTGTAGGGGAATGCGGGCGAGTGTTTCCCTCCTCACCATCTGGAAGCCGTTCAGGTCCGTGTGAAAGACGGTGCCAGACCTGGCGTGGTGGTGGTGAGATGGTGGGGGGTGGGTGAGGGGTGCAGATATGAAGGGAAAGGATGTGAGGGCGAGGGCGGGTATGGGGTTCGAGTGGCCTTGCAGGGGGATGCGGGGGAGTGTCTCCCTCCGTACGGTCTGAAGACAGTTCAGGTCCGTGTGAAGGACGTTGTCAGACCTGGGGGAGTGGTGGCGAGGGGGCTTGGGGGGGTTGCATTTATGAGGGGGATGGATGTGCGGGCGAGGGTGGGCATGGGGTAGAAGTTGCCCTGTAGTGGTGGTGGTGTGGGGGTCGGGGGCTTGAGGGGAGGTGCAGATATGAGGTGGGGCATGTGAGGGAGAGGGCGGGCATGGGGTAGAAGTTGCCCTGTAGTGGAATGCGGGCGAGTGTCTCCCTCCTCACCATTTAAAAGCCGTTCAGGTCTGTGTGAAACGAAGACCCCGGGGAGTGGGGTGGGGGGAAGGGGGGGAGTTGCAGATTACATGGGGGGAGGGACAGCATCGCGGGTGAGGGTTGTTAATTTTTTGGGGCTTGATAACACCGGAGGGCATGTGACGGCGAGGGCAGGCATGAGGGTAGGCCACTCCACAGCGTATACCTGATTCCGGTTCGGTACCGAACCACGAGCTCCTTGTTGCCGAGCCACATGCGGCTGGTGAGGTCGACCCGGTGCTGCACCTCCACCAGAAGAGCCTGCTCCGAATGCACCCTGTACAGCCTCACCACCCGCACCACCGGCTCTGGTGCCCCCCGCCGCTGCTGCTGCTGGTAACTTCGGGACTGCTGCTGCTGCTGCTGCTGTTGGTTACTGTGCTCCTGCTGTTGCAATGAGGAGTGGGACTGTTGGTCGAAGCTGTCGGGTGCATCATCCTCCTCTGACTCTTCCGGACCTTCAGCCTCACCAAGCCCCATCGCTGCCGCGGCAGCAGCGGCAGCAGCAGCATCATACCCTCCTCTCTGCCTGCGCCTCGCCTCAATCCACTCGCTCTTCTCCCTCGCCACTCTCTCTCTCCAACTCTCCCCAACCCTCATCCCCTCCCCCTCCCCGTGCCCTTCATTCCCAGACAGCGCATCCAGCCCCTCTTGAGAAGCAGCATCAGCAGGCGAGAGCAGTGTGTAGTTAAAATCCTCATCCAGCCACGGCGGCCGCCCCCCTCCTTGCGTCCTCCGAATCCTCTGCATCCATCTCAACCGCTGCTTCCTCCGCTCCTCTCGCCGCAGTTCCGCTGCTGCACGTTCCGATCCAAGGTTCGGGGATGCAAGGTTCGGGGATGCAAGGTTCGGGGATGCAGGGTTCGGTGATGCAAGAGAGGCAAGATCTGGTGAGGCACGATCTTCCAGGAGTTTTGCTTCCTTACCACTCTGTATCGCGGATAACCGCTCGCCTTCTGTCTCTTCTCGCTGCTGTGTGTGCCGAGTCGCAATCTCCTCCCCCCCCTGACCCTCCCGCTGTGACTGCTCCAGAAGCTTTCCAAACACTCGCTGCTGCTCCCCAGTCAGAAACACCAACCCTTCCGCTGTTTCCCTTCCCTCAAAATGCCGCGGATGCAATACGTCTAGCTCCTCCTCACTCACTCCCTCACTCACTTTCTCACTCGCTCCCTCACTCGCTCCCTCACTCGCCCCCTCACTCCCTCCCTCTCTCCCTCCCGCGCTCACTCTCTCACCCGCTCCCTGACTCCCTCCCTCACTCTCTCCCTCGCTCGCCCTCTGAATTTCCTCCTCCTCCTGCTCCTCCCGCTGAGAGTGCTCAAGCAACTTACCAAACACTCGCTGCTGCTCCCCAGTCAGAAACACCAACCCTCCCGCCGCTTCCTTCCCCTCGAAATGCCGCGGATGCAATACGTCTAGCTCCTCCTCACTCACTCCCTCACTCGCTCCCTCAATCCTCGCTCTCTCCCTCGTTCCCTCGCTCGCTTCCTCACTCGTTCCCTCACTCACTCCCCCACTCGCTCCCTGATGCACTCCCTCACTCGCTCCCTCACTCGTTCTCTCACTCACTCCCTCGCTCCCTCCCTCACTCGCTCCCTCAATCGCTCCTTCATTCTCTCTGTTGCTCGCCCTCTGAATTTCCTCCTCCTCCTGCTCCTCCCGCTGAGAGTGCTCAAGCAGCTTACCAAACACACGCTGCTGCTCCCCAGTCAGAAACACCAACCCTCCCGCTGTTTCCCTTCCCTCAAAATGCCGCGGATGCAATACGTCTAGCTCCTCCTCACTCACTCCCTCACTCACTTTCTCACTCGCTCCCTCACTCGCTCCCTCACTCGCTCCCTCACTCGCTCCCTCACTCGCCCCCTCACTCGCGCTCTCACCCACTCCCTCACTTGCTCCTTCCCTCACTCCCTGACTCTCTTCCTCTCCCTCTCCCAAGTTTGTTCTTTCACTCTCTCCCTCACTCGTCCCCTGGCTAGCCCCCTCATTCTCACTCCCAGAAACTTCTGCTCCATCCTCGATATTGTCTGCTTCACTATCATTAACCAGCAGTTTACGTGCTGTAGCAGAAAAAGCTCCTTTCGCCACATCTGCAGCCCAACCCCCTTTCCTATCCCCTTCCCCCTCCCCATTCCCCTCCCCCTTCCCCTCCCCCTCACCCTCCCCCTGCCCTTCCCCTTCCGCCCAAGGGTCAAGATCCTCAGATTGCACCTCAGCCGTCCAATCATTCGGATGGGTGAATCTGAACCGTGTATGCACCTCCTCCACTAATGGCCCTCTACATACCAAGGAGGTCGAACCCCTCTCTTCCTCCTTAACCATCCAATACACACCACTCCCTCCCCTCTCTCCTTCAATCCTTCCATCACCCTTCCCCCTCATCTCCCCCCTAACCCTCCCATATCTCCTCCGCCCACTCTCCTCCTTCCCATCTCCCCGCCCATACCCACTCCCACTTCTCTCCCCGTGCTTTTCCCTTTCCGTTCCTCCCTGCCTTCCGCCCTGCTGCTCCTTCACTATAGGAACGGCAGCGCCATGTGGCAGGAAGAGATAGGCTCCCCCTGAGCTGGCATAGAGTGCAAACTGCTCGCTGACAGGCACAGGGGCTCGCATGTGGGGCAGCTGGGGGGGTTGGGGCAAGAGGTGCAGATGGGGGGAGGAGAGGTGAACGGGAAGAGGCGACGGGATGCGGAAACAAGAGATTGGCTCCAACTGGGCTGGCATAGGGAGCATACTGTTCCCTATATGGCCAAGGAGCATGCCGCATGCATGTTTTTTGGGGCGCCTCAAAAGTCAGCTGGGCTGGCATAGGGAGAATACTGTTCCCTGAATGGCAAAGGGGCATGCATGTCGGGGAGCTGGGAGGAGGGGAGATGTGGGGAGGAAGAGGCGGCAAAGGAGGATGGGATAGGGGATGGGAAGAGCCAAGGGGAAACAGATGAGCGAGGTATAGCATGTGGTGGAGAGAAAGAGCAGGATGCGAAGTGGAATCGGCATGCAATCCCACATGCATGCAAAGCAGTGTCACATGCATGCAAAGCAGTGTCACATGCATGCAAAGCAGTGTCACATGCATGCAAAGCAAGCACATGGCTGCATGGCATCAGCACCATCATCAGCAGCAGCAGCTCACCTGTATGCCTTTGATTAGCCCATCCATGCGCCCAAACTCCACTCGGTAGTGGCGGTTCGAAATAGCGAACACATCACCATCGCCAGCACCAGCAGCAGCCTCATCCCCCTCTCCCCCACGGCGTCCCCCCTCCCTTCCTCCCACCATCTCACACACATACGGCTCCGGACACACAAACCCCCGGGGAGGATGAAACAGCTCACCTGTATGCCTTTGATTAGCCCATCCATGCGCCCAAACTCCACTCGGTAGTGGCCGTTCGAAATGGAGAACATGTCACCATTGCCAGCACCAGCAGCAGAATCACCATCACCAGCAGCAGCACCACCAGCAGCATCATCGTCCCCCTCTCCTCCACGGCGCCCCTCCTCCCCTCCCCCCACCATTTCACACACGTATGGCTCCGGACACACAAACCCCCGTGGAGGATTAAACACCACAATAGATGACAGCACAGGTGCAGCGCAGGTAGGCACAGCTGCGTGGGGTGCAATGAAATAGGTGGAAAGGCCTAGGGGCGGCACGGAAGCTTCCCAGAAAAGACGGTGCCGCCCGGAGGACGGGGTTAGGCTCATGTTGCCTTTGGACCACTCGGGTAGCAGCTGCCCGGGGAGACATTTTCCGTGCTGCCCGATGACGGCAACGGCTGGAGATTTGACGAGGACGGAAATAATCTGGGGGTTGAGGGAAGAAGAGCCAGCGAGGGAGAAATGAGAGAACGAGAGAGGGAGGGGGAGAATACATCAGGGAGAGCAGAGAGGAGGAGTTTATAAGATGAGATGGGATAGCTTAAAGCAAAAGTGACCGATCAATAAATAGAGTGCAACCTTGAAATTCAATGTGATATGAAGAAGGCCAGGAGCTCCTCTCACTCACCTCCCTCCTCCCCTCACTCACCTCCCTCCTTTCCTCTTCCAAGGGATTGAACACCACCACTCTCCTTGCTCCCACCCCTTCTTCCCTCTCTACACCGCTCCCCACCACTCTCCGCTCCCAAGGACCGTCGTGCACCGACCGCCACCGCTCTGCTTCAAGAGGAGAGGGCTGCTGGGATACGGAGGAGTTCAGAGCGGTGACGGTTGGCACAGAAGGGTTGGGTGATCTGAGCAGAAGGGCAGCGACAGCAGCACACATGAAGTCCTGTGATAGGGTGGAAGGGGAGAGAGGGGAGAGATGAGAGGAAAGAGGAGAGGGGGAGGTGAGCGAGTGAGGGGAACCCAACCCTTCTGCAGGGGAATGTGGTGAAGAAATGGAACTGCAGTTGACCTGAGTTGACTTCCGTTGACTTGAATTGACTGCTGTTGACCTGTGTTGACTCACGCTGAGGTCTGTGAGCGCCTGGTGCATCCGCTGGCTATAGTCCTTCACCACGTGGTGCTTCGCTGTCCCTGTGATGCCGTCGTGGTGTTGAAACAGCGCCAGGTTGCGCCGTGCTAGCACCAACCGCTCTGCAAAGCTGGAAGGATGGGGAGGGGGAGGAGGGGTGGGGTTGGTGGTAACACGCATCAGGACAATCCCTGTGATGCCGTCGTGGTGCTGAAACAACGCCAGGTTGCGCCGTGCTAGCACCAACCGCTCTGCAAAGCTGGAAGAAGGGGGAAGCGAGGAGGGGTGAGAAGGGGTGGGGTGGGATGGGGATGTTTGTTATGGCAATTCACACGACCCCTGTGATGCCGTCGTGGTGCTGAAACAGCGCCAGGTTCCGCCTCGCCAACACCAGTCGCTCTGCAAAGCTGGAAGAAGGGGGAAGCAGGGAAGGGAGGGGGGCACACCACACGTGGGGATGCTTAGCCGCCACACGTGTTCCCCGTGATGCAGCGTCAGGTTCCGCCTCGCAAACACCAGTCGCTCTGCAAAGCTGGAAGGGGGAGAGTAGGAGGAAGGGGGAAGATGGTGTTGCTAACTAACGCACTTAACAGAGGTGTGGGGCAGGTGAGTGAGTGTGGGAAGGGAAAGTCACTGGACTCTCTATCTACTTGCAGTCGTGACAGTCAAACAGCAAGACCCCACTCACCCAGTCCGCCCAGCACAGTGCGTATAGCATGCCAGCCACGTGAAATGAGGGTGCTTTTCAGACGTCTCAAAAACTCATCCAGTCCACCCAGCAGAGCGCGTACAGCATGCCAGCCACGTGAGTGAGTGTGGGAAGGGCAAGTCGAGCAGCAAGGCCACACTCATCCAGTCCAGTCCACCCAGCAGAGCGCGTACAACATGCCAGCCAACCTCAGGCTCGCCTCACCGCCACTCATTCTGTCACTCTCACCTGTGCCGAACTCACTTGAGGGGCAAGCGCAGGTCTCACGGTGGGAGTACTGCCCACGGTCCTTGGGGCACTTCTGGTGGGCCCTCTACTCCCACCGTGAGAAGCGCCCACCAGTCTGCCCAGCACAGCGCATTGAGAGCATGTCAGCCGCTCTACTGGTGCGACTTTTGAGAATTCTCAATAGTCACCCCACCACCAGTGCGCCCAGCACAGCACAGCACAGCACAGCGCATAGAGAGCATGTCAGCCGCTCTGAGGTTGCTCTCCTCCGGTGCTCAGTCCACGGCCTTCCAGAAGGAGCGCGAGGAGAAGAAGCCGCTCCCTCTGTGCCCCTCTCACCTCACCTCCCCTGAGCAGAACTCACTTGAAGGGGAAGGGCAGGGCCTTGTCCTTGGGCTTGCCACTCCCAGTCGTGGAAGCCAAACCGCGTGAACCGCCTCTATCCGCCCAGCAGAGCGCGAACAGCATGTCAGCGGCCCTCATGTTCGCCTCCAATGCCCGGTCCACGGCCTTCCAGAAGGGACGCGAGGAGAAATAGCCGCTCCAGTAGTCGTGGTCGCGATCCGCATATGTGAAGAAATCCCCGGAGAGAGAGGGGAGAAGAGGGCGCAGCTGGGAGGTGCCAGTGGTCCTGGCAGGACCGGGTGCTGAAGTTCCCACTTTTAGGTAAGCGCTGGTGGAAGTGGCTAGTTTTAGGTACGGGTCTCTGTTAGCTAAGAGCCGGCGGCGCTGGATCTCCTCCTGGTGCTGGTTTTCGTGGCTGCCTAATAGTGAGTTCTGATCTAATGAGTCTGGGTTGAGCGACGGCTGTAGAGTCGCCTCACTGCTGTTCAGGTTGAAGTCTTGGTTCAGATCCAACTCTGTGTTCAGCTGGGCCCGGAGCCGGTTTGCTCTGTGCTGGGAGACCCTCTGGTGGGAAGCCCTCTGGCGGGCGGAGGCGGCGCGCAAGGCGGTGAAATACTCGTCAAGAGTGCCGAAGCTGGCGTTGACTCGGAGCGACTTTCTTGAGTTGATGAATGCGAAGAGCAGCTCGTAGCTGTGGAACTGGGCGTGGGCCTCATGCATGGAGGAGTAGCGAAAGTCGTCTCCCAGAGGCACCAGGAGGACATTTGTGCGGAAGAGCAAGGATTTCTTGCGCCACTGGTTGGGGGGGGGAGAGGGGCAGGGGGAAGAGGGCAGGGCAGGGGAGGAGGAGCAGGACAGGGGAACAGTGGGAACAGTGGGAACAGTGGGAACAGTGGGAACAGTGAGAACAGCAAAGGACGGAGGGAGGAAGGAAGGAGGACTTTCTTGAGTTGATGAAGGAAAAGAGCAGCTCGTAGTTTTGAAACTGAGAGTGGGCCTCGTGCATGGAGGACTAGCGAAAGTCGTCGGCCAGAGGCACCAGGAGCATGTTGGTGCGGAAGAGCGCCACTGGGGATGGGGAAGGGAAGCACAGGACGGGGAGGAGATAAGGGGGACTTTCTTGAGCTGATGAAGGCGAATAGCAGCTCGTAGCTGTGGAACTGTGCGTTGGCCTCATGCATGGAGGAATAGCAGAGTCATCTCCCAAAGGCACCAGGAGTACGTTGGTGCGGAAGAGAAGAGATTTTTTGCGCCACTGTGAAGGGGGAGGGGGGCAGGAGAGAAGCATCGCGGGGAAGAGCAGGAAGGAGAAGAGCAGGAAGGAGAGGAACAACAAGCAAGCACAAATGCATCTCCTCAATTAACACTGAAATGGGGTAATCGGAAATTTTGCTGGCCCAGATAAGCCAATTCGCTTGTTCGCCACATCTAAACCCCTCCCCCAGTCAAATTCATCTGCCACAATCCTGTCCCACCTGATTAAAAACGCCTCAGGACCCACCTACTCCATCCACCCATTTCCATCCCACTGATTCAAGTCAAGACGCCTCAGAACCCATGATTGCGCGGGACCCATCCTACCTGGCCCACCTACCCCCTCATCCCAATCCCACCTGGTCCACCAGCAGCTGTGCGCGCTGAGCGATGTTCGTCCTGGTGATGGGGATGGCGTCCTGCCCCCACGGGCACCAGTGCTGCGTGCCTGTGCGGCGCAGAAAGTCAAACTGCCGGCACAGAGGCAGATGAGAGAGAGGGGACGGAGCCAAGTGGAATGAAGATGAAAGAACGAAACATGAACATTATTTCATTCAGTATTGCAATGCGAACGTTCACAACAGAAATTTGTCGCCAATAGCGTTGCCGGCCGATGGCCCTAGTGCAAAGATAAGACCATATTGGGTCCTTACATGTATTGGGCCCAAGCACACAAGCTTCTTAAATCTAGTTACATTTTCCACTCATTTCATAAGGCCATCATACAAAGTGCTGGATGGAAGTAACGCAAACAATGATCGCAGCAGTAAAGATGAGAGAGCAAAGGAATGAAACATAATGTGCATTTCATTTTTCATTTTTAGTTTCTTTCGAAGCCTCTTCATAAGTCAATAAGCCTCGTTATAGTAACCAACAAGCTGCCATGCTCACAAATATATGTGTCTCTACGCACACACAGCTGCTGAATCAATCTAACTAGCCTCACACGCGTCTTACAGGGACGTACCTGGCAGCACACACCTGATAGCACTTATGTATGTGTAACGCACCTGGCAGCACACACCCGGGTCGGGCCCACAGGAGTGTGGAATGTCGTATGAGTAGAATGGCATCATGTGACAGAATATACGTGCTGCCCTCCTCCTCACATAACTGATAGCACATATGTGTAACGCACCTGGCAGCACACACCCGGGTTGGGCCCACAGGAGTGTGGTATGTCATACGAGTAGAATGGCATCATGTGGCATAGAATATCCGTGCTGCCCTCCTCCTCCTCCCCCCCCCTTGCTGCTGCCGCCGCCGCCGTCGCCTCCTCTGCCGCCCCTGTTGCTGCTGCCGCTGATTGGTCATCACCCATTGTGCCTCCTGACTGTCCTGACTGCTCATCGTTCATCACACCCCCTGTCTGGTCCCATGCCTGGCGCCAGAAGAACTCGAGGTGCTTCTGCCTCGCCAGGGCTTTCTTCACCTCGTAGTGCGTGCGCTGTATCAGCATATTGGCAAACCCCGACCTGATACAAACGGGGATGGCAAGGGACAGCACGAGTTGGATCCAAAAAACACCGATTTCACCTTGAAGTACAGACAGGGGTAGGGAGGCTCGGAGCACGACAAGGGAGGTCCAGACAAGGGAGGCTCAGAGCAGCTCAAGCACCATGTGGGAAATATCAAAAGGTTGGTCCAGCATGGGGACCGAGCAGCAATTTAGGCTCTCCAAGCCTAAAATTCTACTAAGGAACTGTCTGCTTACAGAGGGACTGGAGCAGCACAAGAAAGGAGAGAAACATCTGAGCATCCTGTGAGAAATCGTCTCCCACTGCATTTAACAAGTCACAGCTAGTCTGGCTGGCGTTTTGAAGCGCTTTCAGTGAAATGTATCACAATTACAGTGAACTTGACTTGACACACCGCATAACGCCAACTGTCGCATGGAAGCCCTCACCTCTTTAAAAGGTACGGCATGGTGGCGGAATGGCCAAAAGGGTCAATCGCCCAGCTGGTAGTGGGAGTCACTCCAAGGGTGTCATACAGCCATGTGTTGCCCTCCGTGAGCTATGGGGAGGGGAGGGGGGTTGGGGGGAGGGAAATGGGGATGGGGAGGGGAGGATAGTTAGGAGGTATTTCAGAATGGTTCATACATACCCTGACAAAAAGAAGCTAAGGTGCGGGGATGGATGGCTATGGGGAGCAAGGTGAAGTAGGGTCTCTTGTGAAAGCCTGAGAGGTGCATGCTGTGGCTCCTCCTGAGAGGTGCATGCTGTGGCTCCTCCTGAGAGGTGCATGCTGTGGCTCCTCCTGAGAGGTGCATGCTGTGGCTCCTCCTGAGAGGTGCATGCTGTGGCTCCTCCTGAGAGGTGCATGCTGTGGCTCCTCCTGAGAGGTGCATGCTGTGGCTCCTCCTGAGAGGTGCATGCTGTGGCTCCTCCTGAGAGGTGCATGCTGTGGCTCCTCCTGAGAGGTGCATGCTGTGGCTCCTCCTGAGAGGTGCATGCTGTGGCTCCTCCTGAGAGGTGCATGCTGTGGCTCCTCCTGAGAGGTGCATGCTGTGGCTCCTCCTGAGAGGTGCATGCTGTGGCTCCTCCTGAGAGGTGCATGCTGTGGCTCCTCCTGAGTTTACTGTTGCTCTAAGCTCACGCACCTGTTCAATTATAGCGTACTAGTGGATAGGACAGGTATCGACCCTATGACACCACCCACCAACCGTAGCGTAATGCTTCAGGGCGCCTCAACTCAACCAAGTTGGAATCATGGGGTCGATCGATATGTGGCTGCAAGTTGGTATCATGGGGTCGATATGTGGCTGCAACTTTTATCATGGGGTCGATATGTAGCTGCAACTTTTATCATGGGGTCGATATGTGGCTGCAACTTTTATCATGGGGTCGATATGTGGCTGCAACTTTTATCATGGGGTCGATATGTGGCTGCAACTTAGACATCCGTTGCTGTTCTCACCTTTTGAGGCGCCTCAAAAGTCAACTTAGAGATCAGTTGCTGTTCTCACCTGCGAATGAAAGAACGAGTGGCTCACTCACTCCCCCACCTGTTCGATTATTGCGTAGTAGTGGGAGTTGGCCTGCAATGGAAACGGAACGTACAGGGCGAGGCGAGGCAGAGGGTCGGGCTGTTTTTCTGGGGGCGGGAGTACAAAACAACAGTGATGGAGATTGGCCTGGTCGTGCTGAATTACAATAAAAGTCTTTGCTCAGCTGATTTTGATTGGGTCGCTCAGCTCCCCCCCCCCACCTCCCACTATCCCGCTCGCCTCATCGTTCATGACCCAATTTCTCCCCACTATCAGGCTCTCTCTTTCTAAGGCTTTCCTTCCATTAACAACTCGAGAAACTGCCCCCCTCCCTCCACCCCACTATCCCACTCACCTCATCGTTCATCACCCATCCTCCCCCCACTATCTCCAGCTGTCCTGACTGCACCAGCGCCCTCATCCCCTGCCGCTCCTCCTCTGTGGCATCCACCCACCAGCGGCTCAGATACGACATCTCCTCCCAGATGAAGCGACGCGAGGGGGACTGGTGTGAGGGTATGGGATGAGGGTTTCAGTAGGGCAAGCCAAGGGGTTGAGTACGGTTTGGGGTATAATCAGGGTGCAAGAAGGGAAAACGAGTGAGTGAAGCCCCAGCACCTTCAGCCACTGTCTCTCCTCCTGTGTGGCGTCCACCCACCAGCGGCTCAGATACGACATCTCCTCCCATATGAAGCGACGGGAGGGGGACTGGTGGGAGATGCAAGGGGTTGGGTGGGGTTGGGGTATAGGAATCAGGGCAGGGTTAGAGGTCGATAAGGGTACAAGGAGGGCTGTGAGTGAAGCACCAGTCCCTTCTCTCTCACTCACCAGCGGGTGGGTTAGTAGGGTACCATTAGGGTACCATTAGGGTACCATTAGGGTACCATTTTGCCCGAAGTGCACACACTGGGATTCGAACCCGAGACCTTCGCTCTGATAACATGTCAGAATCCCAACCACTAGACCATTGGGATAAAAGGGCTTGTTAAGTAGCGGGTCAGTGCGCCCATAACCCCCCAGGACAACGTGCCTGTAACCCTTCCCTAGGATCAATCGGGGATCCCCAGTGGACATCTGACATGGAGGCCTGAGAAAGAGAGCACAGAATGGTGTGCACTGTGCAGGATGTGCTGTGAGCTCCTGGCGTAGTACTGCTCGACCATCAGCAGCCAGCCAGGGTCGTTGCGGGAGTGTGGTGCTGTGCGGTGCTGTGTGGTGCTGCTACGACCAGGGAGAATTGAGAAGGGAGTGGCATGAAAAGAGAAAGTAGAGAGAGGGGAGTGACCTCGGAAGTAGAGAGAATGCAGGATGGTGTGCAGGATGTGCTGGGAGCTCCTGGTGTAGTACTGCTCGACTGTGAGCAGCCAGCTGGGGTCGTTGTGTTGTGGGAGTGCTGTGTTGTGCTGTGCTGTGCCGTGCTGTGATAATACCAGCAGTGATGATAGAGAGGGGAGTGGGCTGAAGAGAGAGTAGAGACCTGGGAGAGAGACTGCAGGATGGTGTGCAGGATGTGCTGGGAGCTCCTGGTGTAGTACTGCTCGACCGTCAGCAGCCAGCCGGGGTCGTTGTGGGAGTGTGGCACCACAAACACCCTCAGCGGCTCTTCGTCCCACTCGTCCCCCTTGTACTGCAGCTTCCACCCCTGTGGAGATGGGGGTAAGGAGATGACGGAGGGGGGGGATGATGGCGATGTGGGGATGTGGGGTTTGAAGGGAAGCGGGGAGGGTGGGAGGGTGGGGAAGGGAGTGGAGTGTGGCACCACAAACACCCTCAGCGGCTCGTCGTCCCACTTGTCCCTCTTGTATTGCAGCTTCCACCCCTGTGCGAGGGGAGAACACAGAGGGAGGAGGGGCGGTTAGAAGGGTTGATGTAGCTTCTACACCCTCGGCGTCCCACCCACCCCCATTTTTATGTAGCTTCCACCCCTGGCTGATGGGTCAATGGGAGGCGGGCGAGGAAGATGGGAGAAAGCAAAACAAACAAACAAACAAACAAACAAACAAACAGTACAAATACAGACCAGATATATGTTTATTTAAATACACATATGTACATATATCTGTATATATACATATGTATTCAAACCCCGAGTCCTCTCTCACCTGGGTCCACTTCCCACCCTTCTCGTTGGCAAACTTGATGCCATCGTAAACCTCCTTCATGTTGATGTCCGTTGTTGGCTCTGCCTCTCCGCTAACCCCTTCCCCCACTCCCCCCTCCGCTGCATCCCAGGATGCCTTCCCCTCCCAGTCTGCGTCTTCCCCCCACCCCGCTTTCGCCCCTCTCCGCCCACTGCTCTCCAGAATAAGCGCACGGAAGCCCCTAGAAGCATCCTCGATACTGTCTCCTGCAGGCGGGATCAGCGTGGGGCGGGAAGAAAGGAGGAAGGATAGGAGGAGGAGGACCTAGCAGGAACTACATACGCGTTAAGAATAGAACAGGCTTCGCTGCAGGCCATTATGGAACAGATGGCACCAGCAGCACCACCTTCACCTCACCTTTCTGATCCCAACTGCGGGGATTCTCAATCTGTGACCTCGCCTCACCGCACCCCACCACACCTCACTCGCACCTCACCTTACCGCACCTCGCCGCACATCCCCAACCTGGCTGTCATGCTTGAAGGATTATTATTTACCTGAGTTCTGGGTTGACAGAGTAGCACTGCACATCCATACACTGGATGCTAAATTCTTTAGGGTTCCGTGTACAACATCACCTCTTGTTCCTGTGTGATGCAAACTCAGCTCTCTGACTTGAACCAGTTGCTAAACTTGAGACATTATTTGTCACTTATGAGAATTCATAAATGAGATTCACGCATACCATTCAACTTCTGAGATTTTTTGGAAGCGATTCACGCATTCTGTTGACACGAACCGTGAAGATGGAAGAGCAGCACGTTGAGAGCGGCGACGGCCAGCACGCACACGAGGCACTGCCGCGTCGACCACGGGTAGCGACTCTTCGCCGCGGTGCGGCGTCTGAGCGACGAGCCTGAAGCCGGTTCTCCCCTGGTCATCGTGCAGCGATAGCAACGTTGGAAGGAGATTCTAAGCGCAGCTACAGGAACGGCGATCTAGGCAAAACAGCAGCAGAAATGCAGCGTCGTCCGCAGCGGAGAGCGAGAGAACCGCAGTGCGGCGTCTGAGCGAGGAGCCTGAAACCAGTTCCCCCCTGATCATCGTGCGGCGATCGAGCAACCTGCCGGATTCCTATACGCCGCAATAGCAACGCCGTGGCGTTCGCGTTTGAGATATCTCGGAAGGTTTCTAGCCTCCACGAATAGCAATGCCGAATTCGGCGCAGAAATTAGCAATTCGGTGTGACACCATCGCCAGCCGCCATGTGAGTGAGGAGCATTGGGCTGGTCCCCTGTGCTGAAGAGGTGAGCTTGTAGGTGAGCGATACATTTGATAAGAGGGTTCTAGTTACTGTTTAGTCATGCAAAAACATTACTAATGCAAAACAGCCGCCTTATATATTTCACTAACCCGCTTAAAATGTTTCAAGGTGTCCCACTTTGAAGATAGGAAAAGATGCATCGTCAGAGATCCACTTCCACTACGGATAATATTAGGCACTTTGAGATCTCCAATGCTTGATGCAATATATTAACTAGGTGTATAATCATATTACAGTATTGTTATCTTGCTTCTATCAACAAAAACATGTGTGCATTGCTCGATACTCCATTATCAGGGATTTGACGTCATCCCGATTACCCACTCAATTCTTAGAAGCAACGACGCCTGTTTCGATTCGTGGAAGTAGTGCGGCGAAACAAAATTCCTCGAAGCAGCGCATCCTTATTAGTGCCCGCCCGTAATAGCGGCATGTGGCGTAGTTCGTCCACGACGACATGGAGTATCTACCTAGCGATTCGACATGCGCGCTGTCGAAAGTCGCTGTCGGACTGGTACTGTCCGTTTGCGGAGGAACGTCGTCGTGCGTTGGCTAAAATTAGGTTTCCGCTCTGCCGTACTTCTGTTCAGCATCTGACTACGCGATAGATCATGGTTGTATGAGTTGACTTTCGAGCGACTCGAAAGTCAACTCGTGCATGATGCATCCTGCTCGAAGGCGCCCAAGTGTGGATCCGAAACGCCTTATCTTCAGTGGCCTTTGATTGTTTAGGTGTCACTCGCTGACTAGCTGCATTGCCTAACAATCGGGCCTACTGGTTGTTATGTATCACTCGTCGAGTGTTTTAAACCGGCCTACAATCTGCCTACGTGTCACTATGATGTGCAACGTGTCAGTTCGTGCACGTAGGCCGATTATAGGCCGCTTCGCCCGACCTCTAGAAAAAAAGGCACCTCAAAATGCTATCACCAACTTCATGCAAGGACCCTAGGGTACTATAAGTAATAGTACCACGCTGTTTCAATCAGAAGGTGTTCCAAGAGGCATGCTTACTGAGTCCGCAACTGTGCCAGTGACTCGTTCTTAGTGGTTCTGGCGAAAACCTAGCGGACGAGCATTCGAGACCAGGCGGCACCATGGAGCGCCGCGCATTGACTCTCTTCTGCCTCCTTGGTACAGCTCTAAGGCTGTTAGTAGTTCTGAAAGCTAAAGCTTGGAGAGTCTCAAGTAGCAAGGTAAAATTGGTAGCATAAACTCTGTAAATTTCAGAAAGCAAGAATGGCATACAAGGGACGAACGACTACTCTTATACACACTCCTAGGACTATGGCGCCTTGAGAAGCTCGTTCAGGCCGCTATATCACCTTTCTCTGCTGTCTCCAGCTAGGAACATAATATGTACAAGCAATGATCACAACTCTATGCTGGATCCTAGTTGTTCATATAGAAATCTGCAAAGTACAATCATGAGATAGTTCTAGAATAATACTTGCTGACTCGTTCTTTGTCTTCATGATGATTGGATGACAGCCAGTCACGTCCGAGGATTACGTGATGCTCTCCCAAAGGTACTTGCTGGAACTGGAGCTTATCTTTGTATGAGCCCATGGTGCAGCTGATTGGGAAAGGAGTTGGGCCACACATGATAGAAGCTCCATTCGCCATCTGCACTGTTTGGGAGTGGGAGTCTTTTTGAATAGGAAGGGATAATTCAGAAACGAGGTTTGATGATATGAAGTTTGAAGAGGCACCGCTATCAATCAGAGCCTTGAAGGTATGGTTTCGAATACCTATGGATAAGAGAAGGGGGTTGGATGGGATGGTGTTTTCAAGTGAGATGATGGATGGGCTCTGCAGGTTGCCAGGAAGTCGCCCCAAGCTTACTGGCGTTGACTGTTTCCCGGCGTTGGAAGTAGCGGGTGGTCGACTGGAACGTTCACGGCAGAATCTCCAGACGTGGCCTTTCTTGCCACACTTGAAGAAAACGACACCCATCTTCAAGGGTTTCTTCCCCTTTTCCATCACGTCCAGGTCCATAGGAGCAGGTTCTTGCTGGTTGAATGTTGCTGAAGAGGATGACTGATGGGAGGGAGCAAAAGGGAGAAACGGGCTGCGAGGAAATTGTGCCTTGTATGCAAAATGAACAGCGTCATACCGTTCAGCGACACGTATCATTTCCTCGAGCGTGGTGCAGTCCCTTAGCTCGACCTCCAAGCGAACGCTTGATTTCAGGCCACGCTTGAAGCGATCCATCTTTTCAGCAGTGGACAGGTCAGGAATCTCCTGGGAAACGTCACGGAAACGCGCCGCATACTTCTGGACGGACTTGAGTTGCTTGAGGGCAGCCAAGCAATCACGCGCGTTGAGTTCCGGGTTCACTGGTTGAAAGGCAGCCGTGAAGAGTTGTTTGAACTGGTCCCACATGTGAACAGATGTGTAGATGGACTGCCACCAGGTGATTGCGGAACCTCGAAGAAGCGTTCCCGTGAATGATGTCCACTCAGCAGGTGCAACGTGGCTCAACAACAAGTACTGCTCGACAAGGAACAGCCATCGGCTCACAACTGGCTGAAACCTTCCTGGCGTGAAAAGATCTGGCATAGCGGGTCTAGCGCGCTGATTTCCATCTGAGGGTGCAGTAGTATTCGCACTTGCTGCCACCGAACCGGCTGCAGCTATACTGGCTCGAATTTCAGCTTGCAAGCTCTCTCGAAGTTCAGAAACGATTTGGGCTCGGTAGTTCTGCAAAAAATTGGCCCAATCCTCAGAGGGCGGAGGTCCTAAGTCAGACGTCATGACGTAGTCCTAGCAGAGAGTCGTAATCTAGCTCGGATACCGAATGGTACAGCTCTAAGTCTGTTAGTAGTTCTGAAAGCTAAAGCTTGGAGAGTCTCAACTAGCAAGGTAAAATTGGTAGCATAAACTCTGTAAATTTCAGAAAGTAAGAATGGCATACAAGGGACGAACGACTACTCTTATACATACTCCTATGACTATGGCGCCTTGAGAAGCTCGTTCAGGCCGCCATATCACATTTCTCTGCTGTCTCCAGCTAGGAACATAATATGTACAAGCAATGATCACAACTCTATGCTGGATCCTAGTTGTTCATATAGAAATCTGCAAAGTACAATCATGAGATAGTTCTAGAATAATACTTGCTGACTCGTTCTTTGTCTTCATGATGATTGCACATGAGTCTTGTAATGCTGGAACGTAGTTGTAGTTGCATAGCGTGACTTGTTGCCTTGTTGTCGTGAAGATGCTCTCTTCTCTCTTCTCTGCTGCTTTGCTGGTTGGGAATTCACGTGTGCTTTGGGAAATCCCGAAGCGCACATTTCAGGTTGGAACTTCCAACCTCGAATTTGACATTTCAGGTTGGGATTTTGGCGAAAGTTACAAGTTCGCCAGCTTGCGAACTTTTCTGTGGCGAGTTTGCCTTCGCCCTGTAACACTCCTGCTGCTCTGTAAGCCCTGCTGCTGCGCTTTTTCAGTCGAGTCACCTAAAGACTCAAAAGTCACCTAAATACTAAAGTCACATGAGTGGGTTGCTGCTAAGTTCGATTCCGCATCGAGACTGTCACTTACACTGTCACTTACACTGTCACTTGGGCTGCCACTGCTTACAGTTTCCAACGAGCATTCGTGGGATAACAGAGCAGAGGCAGCAGATCCGACGGGTCAATAACGAGCATCATTCCTTCCCCACGTCCCGCCACAAATCCTGCTCTCTCTCTCCCCCCCTGCCTGCAGGTGCGACGGTCTGCACTGCCTACGGAGCGTCGACCACATCATTTCTCGACGCGCTCCTCGCTCACCAAGGCGGCTCTTTTGCCGCTTCTGCCGCTTCTACCGCTCAGGCCAAGCCTCTGATTTATAAGGGAAAGAGATTGGTAAGTGCGTTAGGATCAACCCAAGCGTTGCCAGCAGTGGTCGCTTCTTAATGGACCGCCCACCGTTGGCTGTATGATTCGTTTGTGTGCATAGAGACTTTGCAGGTCGTAATGATACCAAGAGAATTCGTCATGCTTTATTCATCATAAGAACTGAACAGCTTGTTAATGGATGTTGTTTGCTGCAGCTGATTTGTGTGCTGCAGTTAAAATGTCTGCTGCAGTTAAAGTGTGTGCTGCTATGCATTTCCCCTCCATCCCTACTCGTTACGTTCCCTCTCTCCCGTTTATAGGGAAATACAAGGCCAAACTGCGTCCTACCAAGCTCAACGGGAAGTTAGTTGGTGACGCAGGAGCTTCGGGGACAATTTCGATCAAGGCAGTGAAGTACGGCCCTGTCCCCTCATTCACTTGTCCATTACTTTACTTGTTCCAATGGCTCTGACACAAGTCCTGTAGAGTCACGCTGACTTGAGAGGGGAGCTTTTGAGTCATTAAAAAACACTTTTGTGACCTGAGCGAGTCCTGCAGTGTCACAATCCCTTGTTCCACTGTTGGCGCTGACACGCATCCTGTAAAGTCACATGGTCCTTTGCAAGTTTTGCGAGTTTGGGCCTCATGTTTTGGAGACGTCCGCACAACCACCAGCCAACCACTATTCGCTCGTCCTAGTCTTCAGGTGTTTGCATTGGCTCTACCAGTACACTGGCAGTGATGTATTCTCTACTCATAACCGGTATCTCTACTTGCCCTGTTGACAGGT